AATAATTTTTCTGAGAATTACTTTTTTTTTTTTTTTTTAACATATTTTTTTATTTCATTAACAGACAATATCTAAAAAAGTAATTTTTTTAATAAAATTTTTTTTTTTTTTTATATACATGGTTTCATAACAAAAATAAAATATATACTTATATGTTTTCTTCTTTTTAAATATCTATATTTATTGTCTCAAATTGTTCACTTCCTTCTTCATTATTATTCACATATGTGTTTACTTTGTCTAAAAGTGTTACCCATTCTTTTTTATCTATTTTCATAATATTTACGATATCTTTTATCAATAACCATTGATATGCTGTAATTTCATTTCTCTTATTATTCACAACATAATATAAATTATCAAAATAAAAATCAATTTTGTTTTTATCAAAAGAATTTGTGAGTGAAAATGAATAATATAAATGTATTAATGAATTAAGTGATTTACACATCACTTTTGAGTTACTTTTCTTTTCTTCTTTCTCATTTATAAAGGAAGAATATTCTTTGTCTGAAATTAAATTTTCTAAATTATCTATCTTATTATCTTTTTTATCTAAAATTAACTCATTTAATTTTTTAATATCTTCATCTTTTTCCGAATGGTAATTAAATTTAAAAGTGTCATTTTTTTTCATTGAATCTTTTATGAAATTATCCTTATTTTTAAAATTATCATATTCTATTTCTTCAAGAAATGATTCCGCGTTAAAATTATCAAGTATATCTTGTAAAAATAAAATAATTTTATTTAAATAATATAAATAAATCTTTTTAAATTTTTCTTCTTCTAGTTTAATTTCATTATTCTTGATTATTAAATCTACATTAGTATCTTCTGAATTTATATTTCCTTCATATTTAAAATATTTTTCATTTATTTCTTTTTCATTATAATTATTATTATTATCATTTGGATAATAAAAAGAAGTTGTATAAAATAAGTAATCAATAAGTTCATCTATATAATTATTTGATGCATTCAATGAAAAATATACTACATATTTTAAAATAATATTCTGATCAAATATTTTCATTTCAGCTAAATTTTTTATTATGTTATTCAAGTTTTTATAATCCCTTTTTTCCTTCATTATCCCATTATTATGTATATTATTTAGAGTACTTTTAATATTATGATTTAATATATTTTTGAGTGAATTAAATAAATAATTTATTATAGTTTTATCATAAAGGTTACTATTATTTAATGAAAAAATTAGCATATTTATATCAGCAAGATTTAAAGTATTAGGATCCCTTTTTAATATATTATTTTTTATTTTAAAAAAACTTTTTTTTAATAAATTTAATTTTGATAATGAATAAATAAAGAAACATATTTCTTGATTGGTTAAATTATTAATATTCTCAAATAAAAAATTCAAAACATATTTTAAGTATTCTATATATTTTTTTTTATTGTAATTAAAAAAAATTAATAATTGAATAGCTTGTTTTATATTTAAATTCTGGAATATTTGACCTTTAAAATTTATATCTACTTTGTAATATTGATTCTTATTTAAACACCATAAAAATAAACTGACATCTCTTATATCTAAATTACTAGAATAAAATAATAATTTATCTTTAATAATATTAAAAGTTGAATTTTTTCTTTTCAATTTTGTCATACCCCAAAACATATTTATCAAACTTTGTAAAGTAAACTTGTTAATATTTTTATTTATTTCATTTTCAATTAGTTCATAAAAATTTTCTTCATTATAATTTAATAATGATAAGGAATAATATATATTTGAAATATCTTGACAACTTAAAATAGTAATATACTTTTTTATGAAATACAAAATTTTTTTATAAATTTTCAAATTTTTATAAGAACATTTTGCTAAACTCCACATTAAAGCACTCAAACTTTTTGTATTCAATTTTCTTAAAATATCATAATTAATATATTCAACAAGATAGCATAAAATACTTTCAAAAATTTTTTTATATTTTTCTTCATTATGAATGTTCAATTTAACTAATAGCCACAATAACCAAGTTTTATCAATAACTCTATAAATTTTTTTTTTCTCTAAGAAAAATTTTATATCTATTAATATACTTTCAAAGTTATTATCATTAATAACTTTATTTAAAAAATTATTTTTTGAAGCATCTTCATTTTTTACAAAATTATAAATTCTGACAAACTGTTTCAGTATGTAAAAGCATACAACAATATTTGATAAATGTCTTTTATTTTTATATAAATTTAATAAATCTTTATAAATATAATTTTTTTCAATCTCTTTTATAATATTATGGCAAAAAGAATTACACACATTTTTTTTTTCCTTTAAATAATTTTCTTTTAAACTTATTAAATCAGAATAAGAATCATAATTATATTCCTTATCTTTCTTTTTTTTTTCTTGAAGCTTGTATAAATCATTTTCATCATAATTTATATTTGAATTTTTTATATTTACTTCAGTAACACCTTTATTTATAGTTTCATCATATTTTTCTTCAATACTCTCTTTATTGAACTCAGAATATTCATCATTAATATCAAAAATGTCATCAGAAGAATTTTCATATTTCAACTCACTTAAATTTTTGGTTATAAAATTTTCATCTACATCAACAAAATTTTCTTTAATATTATTAAAATTTTTAATTTCATTATTAATTTTTTTTTCTTTTTTATCATAAAAATTATCATAATTATGAAAAAATAGATTTTTCAATTTCTTAATTTCAATATCTTTAATATTCATCCAATAACTTTTCCCTAACTTATTTAAAATTTCTTTAGGATATTTTATAGATTCTTCTTTATTTATTACAACTAGAGTTTCATAATCACTTTTTTCTGTTTTTTTTAAATCTAGTATTATACCATTACAACCTTTAAACATCCCATTATTAATTTTTACATGTGCACCTATTAATGAGTTTATATCTTTTATTTTTTCAGAATATATTCTTTTATATTTTTTTTTTTTTAAGAATTTACCATTCTTCAAAATAAATAATTTTTTATATTTATTTATTTTAATATCATAATGAAATATATTTGTACTATATGTTTTTAACTTTTTTGTATGTAAAATGTTTATTAAAAAATAAAATAAAATCAAGTAAAAAATGGAATAGCAAAAAATATTCATGTCATAAACCTAATTCTTCCGTTAGAATATCCTTTTTATTTTTTTTTTATTTTTATTATAAATTTTTAAAAAAAGAGGTTTTAGTTTTTACCATTTTTAATTTTTTTTTTTTTTATCTTATTATTTGTTTTTTTTTTTTTTTTTTTTTTTTTTTAAAAATTACTTT